TATATGAATACACTTTCCACTTCTTCGCATGCAAAATTCAGCATGAGAAAAACTTGCAAACAAAAAAATCAAAATACTTAGGTGACACTTACTTGTGAGCATGGAAGTTGTACATCTTTCCAAGTTTCTTATCAAGGATAAATGATGGAGCTGTCCTGACTTCCAGCATATCGGTCTCAAGTCGTGCCTAAAAAGCATTCGTTCATGCATCCGTATTCGTCATTATTCACTTATTTAAATCAGTGCTCTACACCATCGCAAGTAGTCGGCTATACTGTGTTGTGTCAAATGTGGTGAAAAAACCCGTCAATAGATCACGGTGATTTCTACGCCTGACACCAAAAACAAAGGAATACGACTCTTGGAAAAAAAAGGCCTTACAATCGATCGGTAGGAGCAGCGCTATTATGCTTGAAGCCGCCTTAAAACATCGGTTTAGTACATGCATGCAAAGTGATACTGGATTCGCCTCGATAACATCAACTCAAACGTAACGCTATTCCTTTTCTGGCTGGTTTGTTCCTATGCAATCACCACGTCTCTACATGTGATGAATTGAGTTAAGATAATAAATCTTCCTCGAAATACGTTGGAAAAAATGAGATTTTGACGCTCACTTGATTGACCAGGTTGCAAGCCATCCTTCCTGCTAGCCGAGAAGATGCGGCAAGTCCAGCGGCCAGGTTTGACCAATCATTGCCAGAGCTTACCTAAAATTTGGAAGAAGTGCGCTCGAGTTTAAAAACAAATGAGAGTTCCAAGTATAATAAAGAAAAAAAGGAGAATAAGATGAAAATTTGAATTATCATACCACCATCTGATAGGTCAAGCACTGAAAATGAATTCTCTGAAGGCGATAACCAAAGTTCTTTGAATTCGGATTTGATCGATCACGTCCAAAAGTTCTCAACAACCAGTCAAGCATTTCAACCACCTAAATGTATGAAAGATCTACTAAGAACATTAAAAAGGTAAAAAATACTAAGTAGTAGCTTGGTCAAAAGAGTATCCGTACCTTATGGGCATGTACAGTTCCGGCTTGTACAGGATATTCTTCCATGTGTGGTCCACCCGCTACATGAGATAAGAAGGCTAACTCTTGTTCGTTTATTCCCAACGAGTCAACATGAGGTATGATCTGGAATAGTCATAATAATATTTATTTTTACAACCTGGGTTTAAAAAAACAAAGTATAGACTAACACGGTGTAGGATGTCAAACATGAACGT